GAGGGAGACACCTACTAGGTGAGGGAGATACTGCTGATCCCTAAAGCCTGATCACAGAGTCTCCCCTGCAAAGTCCCAGCCCTCTCTCCCTCCTCTCCTGCACAGGTACCCTCTTCAATCTGCAATGAAAAATGTCCTGTGGGAACAAGGAAGTCGACCTAATTGAACAAGATAAAATGCTGCTACATTTGGCCATGTCACCAGGTAAGGAGGGAGGCTGGCCCTCACCAGACTGTGGTCAGCAGCAGCAGCAGAGTAAGCTTCAGATCAAACCTCATGTTCACATCCAGGGAAGATCCTTCAGTGAGAAAAAGCACCAGAACAATGAGACCAAAAAGATGGGGTCAATGTGTCTTTCCCGCAGGCTACACTCACATCACTTAAGCCTCGTACATCCTTTTTTAAATCAACCATGAGTTTGTCCAAATCCTATAACTAGTTTAAGACCTGGCACTTGGTAGTCCAAAAACATTGAAGAAAATCCCCCTGTGGACTTAAACGTATTTTCCTAAGATGTCATTCATTCATCAAGTACTAAGTGGCACCTACTGTATACTGCCATGTACAAGTGTAGCAACAGCCAAGGAGACACAGTCCCTGGACTCCTAGAGCTCCTGATGTGTTCAAGTACAATGACGTTCTGCCCCCACCCTGCCCTCCTAGATCAGCTCTCTTGAGAAAGAAACTAGACCATGAAGCCAAGTTATCAGCCATAGTAAAAGTTTGAGCCTTGAGCTCGAGAACAGTGGAATAAGTAATCCTGAAGAGGCATGTGCAGGGAGACTTTTCACGGAAGGGAGCGGTGTGTGATGCAGGCCTTAATCTATGAGTGACATCCTAAAGGTAACAAGCCATAACAAGGACAGCCCAGGCCTAGGGGTAAGTCAGCAAAGATTCAAGGTTTGAAAGCAAGGAGGAGCCATGGGCAGATTGAGTTGAGACTGTGATGTAGGAAGCAGGTGACCAGATCACAGAGGGCCTCACTTGTGGACCCAGGCACACAGACTCTATTCTGTAGGAAATGAGCAGCTGCTGATGTGCTCACAGAGAAGCCAGGCATATGTTGCTGTGGGATTAGGGGAGACGAACACATGGTGGACGTACTAGAAAGGAGGATGATCGGAACGGGGACACCAGGTCCAGGGTCCCGGGAACTAAAGAAGCCACCGAGTTGGACAAAGGCTTTTCTTACACTGAAAACTCTTTCTGAGAGGGTGGAATCGTTGGGAATACTCTTTTCCCTTCTAAAGGAAAAGGTGCCACTCAGTGAAGTCAAGGAGAAACCACTGGATACTGAAAAGGATGGGAGAAAGATAAATAAGAAGGAATCCTTAGACTTGGAGATTAGGGGAACATGGAATAAAAGTCTCTAGAAGCAAAAATAAACAAAGCCAGGATAAGAGGTTAAATAGGAGGGACTGCGTAACCATTTCAGGACCCAGCTGCAAAATCTGTCCTATAACTATGAAATACAAAGCTCTGTCAAGTTCTATCACTGGAATGATTTAGAGACTGGTGGCTGCATTCTAAAAAGAGAGGCTTTCTTCTAACTGGGCATGGTGGTGTCTAGCTGCCGTCCCAGCACTCTGGAAGCTGAAGCAGGGGGAATCCCTTGAATCATGGAGTTCAAAACCAACCTGGGAAACATATAGTGAGACCCCCATCTCAGAAAATAATCAAAATTTTTTAAAAAGAGGTGGATTTCTTTTAAATGCTAAGGACTTCATAAACATTTGTTAAATATGTTGTTGGGTAAATAAATGCACAGATTAAGTAGTTACAACTATTAATTACGACAGTGCAGAGATGGTCGTTCAATTCAAAAGGACTCAGCCCAGAGAGGAGGTTCGGTAGGTTGCTCAATGTTATTTCATGATAGTCTGATGCATGATAAGCAGCCACCATGGGGATTTCTGCCATCTGTGCCTTTGGCTCCAGTTCCGGGGACATCGCACAATCTGGAAGGCCCACTGCAAGGAGACGGAAATACTCGGAGCCTCCTGGAAAAGCCACCACACGTCGTGGAACTGCTCAGCTGTCTCCAGGAGCTTCCCGGCTCTGCTCTCTGACCCAGTTTCTTTCTCCCTCAGAGAGTGCCACACGCCAGAAGTGTCCTGTGGACCAGGGGCCCAACGGGAGGAAGACCCGGTGCACCGCAGATACCCTGGACGTCATGTCCTACCAGGAGCCTCTCAGCACAGTGCTGGCCGTCCTAGGCATAGTCATCAGGCACCAGTACACCCCCATCGTCCCAGCCAATCACAGCCAGCTCAGCTACCTCCCACTGTCCTCCTTGGCACTGTGTTTCCTCTATCCCTTCATGTTCATTGGCTACCCAGGTCCCCTCACCTGTGCTGTGCACTAGGCAGCCTTTGGGGTCACCTTCACAGTCTGTGTGTCCACTGTGCTGGCCAAGACCATAGTGATAATGGCAGCTTTCCATGCCACAAGGCCATACACCGAGATCAGGGTGTGGGCAGGGCCGATGCTCCCTGGCACCTCCCCAATGTCTGTTTCCTGCTCCAGACGGCCTTGTGCATACTCTGGGTGACCAGATGGCCCCCACAGCCCATAAACTCCACAGAGCCTGGATCCACGGTGACTTTGAAGTGTAATGGGGGCTCCTTGGAACTGTTCTATGCCATGCTGGGCTACTTGGGCTTGCTGGGTCTGCTCAGCTTGCTGGTAGCCTTCCCTGCCCACAGGCTGCCTGACACCTTCAATGAAGCGAAGCACATCACTGTCAGCATGCTGGTCTGCTCCGTGTCTGGGTGTCCTTCATATCTGCCCACAAAGCAAAGACACCGTGGCCGTGGAGGTCTCTGCCATCTTGGCATCAGGAGCAGGCCTCCTGTTCTGTCTCTTCGTTCCCAAGTGCTACATCATCCTTCTCCACCCTGCCAAGAACACCAAAGGACAAATGCTTGGCAGACCTCATCCCAAGTGAGGAAAGCAGAAGGGGATCACAGGAAGTCCTGCTTTCTGGGGAATGCCCTCTTAACTCCCTACCAGGGGGAACACTCCTTCCTCTGAGCCCCATCACACTGGTCCAGAACCCCTGCTTGTCCCCAGCTGCCTCTGTTTTGTATTTCATCCCATCAGGGGAGATAAGACACATTTGCAAAAAAAATACTGTCCTTGATGGAAGCAGGTGGTCTCTTTCATCCTTGGCCTCTAAGCACAGAGTCAAGGCCAGGGACACAGAAGAGACAGATTACGTCTGATGAACGAATGGATCGACTTATGCAAAGTTAGCACTGGAGGAGACCCGGGAGAGGAGGCATCGAGACAGAGGGATTGAGTGGAGTCCAATAAATGTGGTTCAAATTCTCTGGCTCCTCCCTTTGTAGCTGTATGAACTTGAGCATGTGACTTAACCTCCCTGAGGCTCCGTCTCCTCCTGTATAGGATGAGGCTGAGCTCTCCCCTCCAGGTTGTGGGGATGATGAAATGAGAAAAATAGTGAAAGTGCTCGGCACACGTGAAACACATGAAAAGTAGAGAGTTAAAGACACCTTGTCTGCTCTGACTTCTTACAGATAAGGGAATAAGTGCTGAGAGAGGACCAATTTACCCAGAGCATCACCACTATACACAGGTTAAGAGGCAGATGCACAGGGCTCAAGCCTTAGCTCTGCCACTTAACTGCGTGACTTTGGACAAGTTTCTTAGCTTCTCTGTACCTCAGGAGGATAACAATAGCACTGATCTCATGGAATTATCAGTGAGGAGTAAATGAATTAATATTTATAAAACATTTAGAAGAGTACAAGGCACATGGTAAGCACAAACAATTATTCGTTAAATAGTTCAATAAAATGATGAATCGTGGCAAAATCTGGATATCTTGTTTTATTGCCAAATGACTAAAACGTTTTTTTGAGACCCTTGATCTAAGCTAGGTCATAGGGAGGGGGCGCTCTTTTGAGAGTCTAAAACTTATTCTTATAAGCAAAGAGCTTGGGGTCTAACATTTCCAACATAACCTGTTTGAACTACACTAGACATGTCTACTATGAAATTTGCTTCTAAGTAAACAACCTGTCCCTGCTATGGTTAGCTACTTGCCTTTTCGTAAATGAGGACAGGTGACTGTCACAGACCCCCGGGGAACACTAAGCCCATGCTTCACTCTAGGAACAGAAACCCTCAGAGAAGCAATTGTGTTTTCAGAAATTTTCTATTTTCTGAAATGTGCATTTTCCCTGACATGATTTCCTAGTTTATCTTCACTGCACGTGGATCTACCATTAGTAGCCGCTTTAAAAACATTGTCTGTTGATACCTCCACTTTTCGTATGCCCCAGATTCTGATGGTAGCTGTTTTTTTAAGAGAGTGATTGTTTCAATTTTGTAATGTAAATAATCACACTCACAAGAGTGGGGTTTTCCCCCAGTTTTGTTTCTTGTATAAGGTTTTATTAAAACAAGATTCACTTTATACGTGCAAGAGCCTTCCTGATGCAATTTGTCTCAAAAATATAGACTTATTCCTCAAGAATCCCAAAATAGTAGACTTTATTAATACTTCCCATGGAGTTATTCTCAGAGTAGTTCTCAAAATTCAGAAAACAGTACTTTGTTTAAAGTTGAATTCTTCTTGCTACCATAAATGAGTACTATGTAACCCAGTGCATTTTCTTTTCCTGAGTCAAAACCCAATAGGTATTGTGTTAATGTCTCCTCAAGTCAGGTGCCTGGAAGTGTGGAGTGCTTCTGTTTCATTCAGGTGAATTCTTCCATTTGATCCTGAGAAGTTCTCACTTTAGTACTATTTTTGCATCCCATAGTCATTGAAAAGAATCTAAAGCACATTAGTGATATAATACTCAGTAAATGAGCCAGGCGCAGTGGCAGACACCTGTAATTGTAGTGACTCTGGAGGCTGGAGACAGGAGGATTGCAAGTTCAAGGCCAACCTCGGCAACTTAGCGAGGCCCTGTCTCAAAGTAAAAAATAACAGGGGCTGGGGATGTACTCCAGTGGTAGAGTGCCCACATTCAAATGGTGATTATACATGCCTTTAGGAACGCAATTGGTACATATAGGGAACTACTTGAATTGTAATTGTCTTTTTAAGCATAAGTTAGAACTGGCATTGCCATAGAGATCTCTTTAAATCAATTTGCAAACACCATCTGATTTGTGAGAAGATTGGTCTATAGTTCAAATCACAGAATGCAGATATTACAAATGAACATAAATCACATGGAAAATCAGCTCTGATTCTGGGAATTTCATCTGTGGTGGAAAGTGCTGGTTGTCTATCAAATTGTGTTTTCTTCCATTTTTTACAATAAGTAAACTGGGCATCTGGTTGCCTACCTAGAGACTAATTTTACTTTCTTTGTGATTAGATGTAACTTTTGACTCGCTTCTCACTGAAAAAGGTGAGTGGAAGTGGTCACTACCACATCTGCTCAAGATACTTTAAGGCACAGAAGTGTGTCTCCCCCAGGTTTTACTCTGGCCTCTCTTGCCCAGTGCTGACCATTTAAATAGCAAGAAGTTTCTAGATCAGGGGCTGCAAGTCGTCTCTGTCACAACTACTCAGATTAGCTATTGTAGCAGAAAAATGGCCCTCGTTGTCATTATAGCAAGATACATGGATGTGATTATGTTCTAATAAAACTTAATTTATGGACACTGAAATTTGAATTTTATGAACTTTTGTGTCAGGAAATATTATTATTTTAATTTTCATTCAGGCACTTAGGAAGGTAAAAACCATTCTTATCTCACAGGCCATTAAAAAGCATGTGCTGAGCCAGATTTGGCCTGCTGGCTTTACTTTGCCAACATCTTAAGGAAGGTTGACCTTATGAGATAGAAAGAACTTGAACCTTTGAATACCTGCTGATCAGAGCTACCCATCAACCTGGAACACTCACCGTGGACTTCTGCCAGGAAGACAAAATATCCTGCATTCTTAAAGCTACCTTGTAGTTAAGTCTCTCTTGTTATAGCAGCGCAGCATGTTCCTTTAACTATTGCATAGTCTATAACTCCTGGGTACCCAGCCATACCTCCCTTCCATAGTCCTTACCATGCTCCTTTTGGATACCCCAGAAAAGGAGGCTGGGTATCCTCCATCCACCTCCTCAATGTCTCTTCCAAGACTTGAGGGAAAAGGCTCGGCCCAGGGCTCCCTTCACCTCCTTGTTCCGAAGACTGTAGATGAGGGAGTTGAGCATTGGTGTGACGATGGAGTAGAAGACGGACACCACCTTGTTGAAGTTGATGGAGGAGGCCACTTTGGTCCTGACATACATAAAGAAAAGAGTGCCATAGAAGAGGCCCACTACTATGAGGTGAGCCGCACAGGTGGAGAAGGCCTTCTGGCGCTCAGCAGCTGAGCGGATGTGCAGCAGTGTCCAGATGATGTTGCCATAGGACACGGCGATGACGGTAGAGGAGGCCAGGAGCACAACCAGAGATACCAGGAAATCCACCGTCTCCTTCAGGGTGACATCTGAGCAGGACAAGGCCAGTAGGGGCGAGGCATCGCAGAAGAAGTGGTCCACAACATTGGGGCCACAAAATGCCAGCTGAGACATGAGGTAGATGGGCAAAATGGGTGTAAGGAAGCCTGCCAGCCAACAAGCAGCTGCCAGACGGATGCAGGTGCCCCAGGACACCAAGGACCCATAGCGGAGGGGCACACAGATGGCCACATAGCGGTCGTAGGCCATGGCGGCCAGCAGGAAACACTCAGTTGCCCCAAGGAAGGTGAAGATGAAAAGCTGGGACAGGCAACCAGCATAGGAGATATACTTGCCCCCCTCTACCCCAATAAAACCAGCCAGCATTTTGGGCACCGTGACTGAAGTGTACAAGATTTCAAGGCAGGACAAGTGTGTCAGGAAGAAATACATGGGTCTCCGGAGCCGGTGGTCAAGGCCCACCACTAATATGATGGCCAAGTTCTCTGCCAAGGTGAACAGGTACATGGTGAGGAAAAGCACAAAGAAAAGGAGGTGTGCCTCTTGCACCCCAGCAAAGCCCACCATGACAAACTCCGTTACTTGGGTCCAATTTGGGGTATATGGCTGCATATGTGGGAGGGAGAACTTGGTAGACTCATAGCCTCCTCGATGATGAAAACTCCAAGAGAGCCTAAGAGGATGTCGACTATAATACCTTCCAGGGCAGAAAAGGAAGGTGAAGTCAGACACTGCCCCCACCCACAAAGAATGCAAAGTCTAAGGGACACAGGAAAATGGACAATTTCAGTACAAAATGAAAAGGGTTGAATAGGATTGAGACAGGATATTATGGAAGGAAATAGCAGGGAATCTCAACCAGTCTTGAGAGGTCTTCCTGGAGGAGACAGTAAACTTGAACCTGAAAAAGAGGTATAAGTTCACGAGATGAACAGTAGAGAAGTAGAGAGAATGTTGCAAGTATAAAATCCCAGGTACCATAGAGGACATTGTGGATTCATCAAGGGAAAGGAAAAGCTAGCTCCAATCTGAGGGCCACAGAGAACTTGAAGAGTTCTAAGAAGGACACAATCCTTGCTTTTTGCCCTTCAGAAGGAGCAAGTTTGGCAGAAAGAAAAGAGGCAGAGAGGCCAGATTGGGAGGTTGTTGTGAGTATGACATGGAGTGATATTGGCCTTAACTATAGAAGTATCAGTAGATCTGGAGAGTGAATGTAGCTATTAAAACATAGAATCCACAAGATTGAGCTCAAATACAAGCTGGATCATCCCATTGTAAAAACATAATAAAAACTAGGTACAAAGAGATTAAACTCCTATCTTATTTTAAGAGTAAAGGGAAAATGTAGAATCTCCATTCCTACAGAAGTTTTAAAATGTAACCCAAAGCCTGGGATGGTGATGCATGCCTGTAATCCCAGTGACTTAGGAGGCTGAGGTAGGAGGATCATAAGAGCAAAACCAGCCTCAGCAATTTAGCAAGGCCATAAGCAACTTGGCAAGACCCTATGTCAATATAAAAAGGGCTAGGGATGTGGCTCAGTGGTTAAGTGCCCCTGGGTTCAATCCCTGGTACCAAAAAAAAAAAAAAAAAAAAAAAGCAACCCAAAATTCTTTGACACTCTTCCCATTGAAATGTGGGATCAATAGCTATTCCCTTGAATCTGGGCTCTGTGACTGACAGCAAAATAACATGGAAGTGATGCTGTGCCTGTTTTCAGGATCAGAAGAAACTGTCAGTTTTCACTTCCTGCTTTTTGGAATCCAGCCACCATATTGTAAGGAAGCCCAAGCAGCTTGCAGAAAGCCCAGATAGAGAAGAACTAGGGTCCCTACCCTGGCCAAGCTCCCACTGACAGCCAGCAGTAACATGCTAATGTAGGTGAATAAGAAGTCTAACAAATATATCCTTCAATCTCCGGTTAGGACTGCCAGACTGACACCAGCCTTCCCTGATGGACCCTCCCTAGTTGTAAATTTGTGAGCTAAATAATTGGTGGTTGCCACTTTAAGCCTGAACTAGAGTTTGAATTCAGGTTTGCCAAGTTCTTTAAAGCCCTTTCCCCTTCTGCTTATAATTAAGCAAGTTCCTTCTGGCTTCAACATCCCATGATTTCCAGATGAGGAAAGCACGCAGAGATACAAAATCAGAAATGAACAAGTCAGTGACTTCAGATTCCTGTGCATATCCTCACCATTTCTAAATCCAAGCTGCAACATCCTTACATGCCGCCCTCCCCCCCCCCCCAGAGGAGATGTTCACTGTACACAGATGCTGTAGAAGCCTGACTTGACAACTGTTATAAACAGATTTTGGAGTAAAGTTCTCTGAAATGTTCTCTCCTCTCTGTATTCAGGAGGAACATGAGATGTAGAGTCACACAGATCTGGAATCAGCCCTGGATCTGCAATACACTAGCTTCGCTGTCTCATATATGAATTGTTACTATTATTTCTAAATCTTACCTGTCCTTCTAGCTGTGACACAAGTTTGTTAGTCCTATCTTCATTTGAGTGCCTTTGACTTCCCTCATTCCCCCCAATTTGTATGCACATCAGACCAACAAGTGCAAAAACACACCTGCTCTGTACCAGGAACCTTGGCAGATCCTGAAGAGCATCCTGGTACAGAGCAGGTGTCCGCCAACAGCCAACCCGAGGTCAAGTACGGAGCCTTGTAATTCTCTGATCCATGGCTTAGAGTATGCCAAAACCTGTGGGGTTCATATCGGGTCCAGATTAGATCCACTGAAAGAACCTGCTTTATTACTCAAATGCTGAAGGAGGATAGAGAAGTAGGATATTTCAGACAGAGAAAGTGCAAAGATTCATGCTCGCCCAGTATGGCGTAGTTGCCAGGAGACAGCTGGAAAGGGACTACATTTTCACCTTCTTGTATCCACTCAGTGATGCATGTCATCTGTGGCTGGGATTTTTTTGAGAAGCGTGTGTGGCTTCCCTGTTCTTTCCCCATTGTGAAGCCAAAAGATGGAAAGAGCCCGAATTCCCTGCAGAATACAACTCATGTCTTCCTGAAACAGAGAACATCAAGCTTTTTCTGTACAAGACCAGACTGTAAATAATTTAAGTTTTGGGAGCCACAGATAGTCTCTGCCACATATGGGGTGGGGGGCGGCATTGCAAAGCTTTAAAAATGTAAAAATCTTTCTCAGCTCATGAGCCTTACAAAACTGGGCTACAAGCTGGGTATGGACCGTGGGCTATAATGTGCTAATCCCCGTCCCACACCTGTTAGATGAACAAAAAAAGAATGTCATCATACTGTGGTAAGCTTCAGTTACCCTACTTGATGGATACACCACCTCTGCCACCACCACGCAGCCAAGCTGTTACCAAGTCATCTACTTTCTCTTGTTCTGCAGAGAGACGGGGTGGGGGATAATTGACACCCAAGAAGGTATAGGTTGGACACAGGTGGGCAATTGCAGCCTGATTTAAAAAAAAAAAATGTTTCTTTATTGTTTCTCCTATCCTATTATCTACTTAACAAAGTGCAAAGAGACCTTTTCTTGAATTCCAAATTGAAGGCCAAAATCTAAACAAAAAAATCCTAAGAAATGAGCTTGAATTCTACCAGCTCTTCCTCTACTGTCTGATACCCAGTTGCATCCCTTGAAAGACTCAAGGGATGAACTCTAGCTGTCAAATGGATTGGATGAATATATTGAGAAAACCATTCAGAAAGTTTAAATGAATAAAATAACTGAATGAATGTCCCATCGCTGCACTTACTAGCATTCAGGTATGTACCACTTAACAACAGGAATATGTTCTGCAGACAGCATCATTAAGCAGTTTTGTCATTGAGTGAACATCATAGAGCGTATTTACCCAAACCATGACAGCTATGCCACCAATAAGTGATGGGGGGATGATTGTCATACATGCCGCCTGTTCCTGCCCAAGCCAACTTATGCAATGCATGACTGTATGTTAATTCACTTCCATTCATTAAATAAGAGAATCTCGGGATTATCTAACTCATGGCAAATTTTGAAATCCACAGCATTCAAATCCACTAACTCACTGATGTGGTGTATGCACACTTGCATGCTGACCATTTCCCCACTCAGCATTCGTCAGGGAGACCCTCCATGCCAGGTGTAGGACGGGGCATTAGGCCTCCAACAGTTAATAGGGGCCAAGCCCTGCCTTTTAAGAACCCACGATGTGATGAATCTGTTATACATCCAGGAAAACAAAATAGGGGACAATTAATTTGGCCTAGAAGGAAGACAGAACAGAGGAGATTAAGAAGCAAATATCCCAACCAGATCACAGTGAGGGTGGTGGAGGCCAGACAGAAGCAAAACCAAGAGCAGCATCAGGAGAAGAAGGCATTCCAGAGGAATAGGCCTAAACCTCATCAATAAGACCAAGCGAATCACAAGAAGATGTGCACAGGAAGACAGGAGACTACCTGGTGCCTTCAAATCCCAGGCCCTCCTCCTAACTGAAATGAAATAAAAGAAACCCAGATGGAGGGTGATGCTTCCCACAATGGAGTAAGTATATCTGATCGGATCATTTAAGACAGTGTAATGAGAAATGCTGTCTGAACAAGAGCCTCAGAATGGGCCCTGCCTCACCCCACAGCATCCAGATCCTGCTTTGCATCTTCATCCCCTCCACCTCCACAGGCCAGGTGTTGGTAGGAAGGTGAGCCTCTCACCAAAACAGAGAAGGGATCATATCTTTGCTGATGGTGTCACTAGTGATGCAATTTTTATTTCCTTGCCAGCGCACCCCATGTTAATTGTGGTAGTGCTGACATATCTTTGCTGATGGTGTCACCAGTGATGCAATTTTTCCCAAGGAGCCGTCAATTGGCTTGGTGTCGTGGCATTTCTGTATCCTCCTCCCTTCTGCTAGTGATGGTCTAAAATTTGGGGGCCAATGGCTTATGCTGGACCGGTAGTCAGTGACGGGTATGATCCAATTGCAGTGGTATCAACCTAAGACAGGAGGCTGACGCCTAAAGGTCAGTTTTCCGATGACGGGTAAGAACCATATGTTGAATTGGACAACCTACCAGGCACGGTCCATAAGCCACATTAACCTCACTCCCCCACTGGCACCAAGGCCAAATTTGGGGGCCAACAGAGGTGAGGCAAAGAACCTCACCCCCCCACTGGTGCATAGACCTATCCACAAGTATGGCTGTATGCTGGACCTGTAGTCAGTGACGGGTATGATTCAATTGCTGTGGTATCAACCTAAGACAGGAGGCTGACGCCTAAAGGTCAGTTTTCCGATGACGGGTAAGAACCATATGTTGAATTGGACAACCTACCAGGCACGGTCCTTAAGCCACATTGCTTGTTGTTTAATTAATCAGAAGGGGGGAGATGCTGGGAGCCATTAGCCAAGTAGGTATGACAATTTCCTTGTCAGCGTACCCCATGTTGCTGACATGTTGCAGTGACATTGAATGTAGGTGACCTTGCTCAAGGACCAAGGCAGATTAGGGTGTTCCCGGTTTTAAGATAATCGTGTTTAGGGCGTTCCCAGTTTAGGTTCCAGGTTTAAGGTTTAAGATTATTCCTGCTGGGAATAGGGCGTATCCTGCTGCCTGAGTTCCCCTTGAGTTCTCACGGGATTTAGACAGTATATTTTGGAGATAGAAGCCCAGTGGAGGTGGATTTGAGAAGAGAACGTGGATTTCCCCAGAACGTGATTGTAGACGGCTGGTGTGAGTTCGGGAATAAAGAGTTGCTGTTTGAATCTACAAGCTGTGTGGTGGCTCGTGATTGTGTGCCCAGCCAGACTGCGGCACCCTCCCATGGGCCAAATTCTGCCAGACTCCTATTATCTTATATTTTTTTCATAACAATATCATGATACAATGGTCTATCCTTGATAGGAGTATTATTTGTCCTGGTTTTCATACCACTGAAAAAACTGAGGTTCAGGAACAGTTAACTAACTTGCACAAGATTAAAGAACTCATATGTAGCAGAGATAGGATCCAAACCTTGGGGTATCTGATGTGAAAATTGTGCTTTCTGTCCACACCATGCCACCTCTCTGCCATTCCATTTCACCAAATGACATGTCTACAAGCCCTGACTCCCAGCCCTGACTGTGAGGTTAATTTCTTGGCAGCTCACAGCCCTGCTGGCTGGAGGAACCCCCTGCAGGCTGCAGCAACCTGCAGGAGCCCAGTGAGGCACCCAGACATCAGCTTCCTCTCTGAGGTCAAGAGAACTTCATCAACCAAGTGCCACATAGGGAGCAAGTGGCCAAGGGGAGAGGAGACGGTCACACAGGACAACTACTAAATAAGGAGAGAGGCCGCCCAGGAACTTGACCCAATTTTGTGTCCTCAAAAGACGGTGTTTCCTTGGCTGAGATTTTTTTCTTACAAAGATGGAAAAACAGTTTGGGATTCATGCAGGGAAATTAAAAACTTAGTTCCTGAAGCCATTAGCTTGTGTGGCTCTGTGACAAGGCTGGTAAAGGAGACTGAATTTCTCCATTTCCGTTCTCTCTACCTGGCCCCTGGGAGACTTGTTCCCAAAGGTGAAAGGAATGGAAAATGAGCTTACTGAGATCATGACTACAGGTCATGATTTCAGAAAATAACCACCAACCAAGGTGAGCGAGCAATGGCAGGTGGGTGCCATGAGGCGGACAGAAGGGGCCCCAGGATGCCCACACCTGCTGTCTGCTTGTCCTTTGCTCTTCTTCACTGCCTGGCTGATTCCCGGCTCCCACTGCAAAGAGGCAGCCCATCTCACGCAGATGGTCCCCTGTGTCAACAGCACTGTCTCAAGGACCAGAAGAGCAGAGTTTGACCCTGGCTCCATCTAGTACTAGCGATGATTTTGAGAAAGTCATTTAAACTTGCTGAACCTCAGTGTCTCCATCTTCAAATCAGGAGAGTAACACGGACATTGCAAGCGTGATCTCAAGATGGAGGAAGCAGCATCAAGTGAAATCTCAGGACCTATGCCATTCTTGTTCCCTCTTTCATCTCTGTGTGGCTTCCTCTGGCGCTTCCTTCAATTCTGTGCACAAGGCCACCTTAATGGAGAAGTCACTTCTGACCACCTGTCTGAAAATGCAACTTCCCATCACTCTCTGAGCCCCTTCTCAGCTGGAATTTCCTGGTCACAACTTCCTTTTCAACTGATAGATATTTATTTGCTTGACTATAATCTCTCTCTCTCTCTC